TGGGGCTTTGGAAGGTGCTTAGGTCATGAGGGTAGAACCCTCATGAATGGGACTAATGCCCCTCTAAGACACCCAAGAGGGCTCTCTTGCTCCTACACCTCCATGTGAGGACACAGCCAGAAGTTAGCCTTCTATGAACTAGGAAGTGGGCTCTCAGCAGACTGAATCTACTCGCACCTTGATCTTAGACTTTCTGCCTCCAGAACTGTGAGAAATAAATGTTTGTTGTTTGTGTCACCCAGTCTTTGGTATTTCTTTTTTCTTTTTTTAATATTTTATTTATTTATTTATTTATCAGAGAGAGAGAGAGAGAGAGAGAGAGAGAGAGAGAGAGAGAGCACAAGCAGGGGAAGCAGCGGCAGAAAAAAAAAAAGAAGCAGCGGCAGAGGGAGAAGCAGGCTCCCTGCTGAGCAAGGAGCCCGATGCGGACTTGATCCCAGGACCCTGCAATCGTGGCCCGAGCTGAAGGCAGATACTCAACCCACTGAGTCACCCAGGCGTCCCCAGTCTTTGGTATTTCTATAATAGCAGCGTGAATGGACTAAGACACTGAGAGTCTAGATTGTGTGTCCCCTCACCATTTATCTTGTACCTTTTCCTACTCCCCATCTCAGACCCCTCAAACATCATTTAAAACCATGTTGAGGGACACCTGGGTGGCTCAGTTGTTAAGCGTCTGCCTTCAGCTCAGGTCATGATCCCAGGGTCCTGGGATCGAGCCCAACATGGGGCTCCCTGCTCCGCGGGAAGCCTGCTTCTCCCTCTCCCACTCCCCCTGCTTGTGTTCCCTCTCTCGCTGCATCTCTCTGTCAAATAAATAAATAAAATCTTAAATAAAAATAAAACCATGTTGAAAATTACGCATTTCTAAAAAATCCATCAATGTTAATTCAATTCAAATCAGGATTTTTCCTAAAGCATTTATTTCTAAGACAAAATCGGTCTCCTGTGCTATATATTTTTTAACTTGGTAAAATCTACATGCTTGGTGTTTGTTTTCAATTTGAACAAGCACTAGTTTTTGTTTGTTTTAAAATAAACTTTATTGGGGTGCCTGGGTGACTCAGTCAGTTAAACGTCTGCCTTGGGCTCAGGTCATAATCCCGGGGTCCTTAGGATCAGCCCGCCCTGGGCTCCCTGCTCAGCAGGGAGTCTGCTTCTCCCTCTCCCTCTGCCCCCCTCCCTGCTTGTGCTCTCTTTCAAATAAATAAATAAAATCTTTTAAAAAAATAAAAATAAAATAAGCTTTATTAAGGAGGGCACTTGATGGAATGAGCACTGGGTGTGATACGCAACTTGATGAATCACAAAATTCTACCCCTGAAACTGGTAATACATTATATGTTAACTAAATTGAATTTAAATACAAAATTAAAAAATAAACCTTTATTTTGGAATAATTTTAGATTAACAGAAAAGTTGCAAAGATGATAGAGAGTTCCTGGTTCCTGTATGCCCCTCACCCAGTTGCCCTAATGTTACTATCTTACATTAGTATGAGCCAGTACTATGGTACATTACTACTAATTAAACCACAGATTTTAGGTGGATTTTATCAGTTTTTCCATGAATGTTCTATTTATTGCTCCAGGATCCAACCCCAAATATCACTGCATTTAGCATAATGCCATTTTCACACCTACCAAAAATGACTAATTCCTTAATCTCATCAAATACCCAGTCATTACCCCCGTTTCCTTGGTTGGCAGATACGTCTTGTAAGTTTCTTGGAGTCTGTAACAGTTCTGCCTCCTTCTTTGTGTTTTCCTGCCACTTATTTATGGAAGGAACTGGATCATCTGTCCTGGAGACCATTCCACACTTTGGGTTGGGCTGACTGCATCCCCCACGGTGTTGGTTTAGGATGCTCCTCTGTCCTCCATATTTCCTGTAAAGAGGTATCTAGATCTAGCATGGGGGTTGGTGAAATTTTTCTCTAAAGATCCAGATAATAGATATTCTAGGCTTTGCAGGTCATATGGTTTCAACTCTGCCACTGTGAGGCAAAAGCAGCCATTGACAATAGGTAAACAAATGGGTGTGGCTGGGTCTCAATGAAACTTTATTTACAAAATCAGGTAAAGGGCTGGATTTGGCTGGGAGACCATAGTTTGATGATCCCTGATCTAGAGGATCAATCAGATTGGGTTTTAGTGGTTTTGTTTTGTTTTTGTAAGAATAATTCTTTGACAGGGCTGGGTATCTCCTGTGGCTTCATCAGGTGGCCTATCACATCTGGTTGTCTCTTTCAGTAATGTTGCATTTGTAGGGGTTCTGCTGTTACCAGCTTGATCCATCCATCATGAAGGTCTCCATTGGTGGACTGTATTTCAACCTTCCTCTCTCTTCTGTGGTCGGGAGCACTTGTGCAATGCATGCCTTGAGCAACCACACATGAGCACCTCTGTCCAACATTTGTTATTTCCCTTGGCATCTTTGGTTTCAAACGGCACATAAAATAGTAGCCCTAAAGGTTCTTAGAGTGCCACAGACTACTACTTGGTAAAGAAAAAGTTTCCAGGGGGTGCCTGGCTGGCTCAGTCAGTGGAGAGTGAGACTTGATCTTGGGGTTGTGAGTTCCGGCCCCCCGTTACGTATCGAGATTACTTAAAAATAAAATCTTAGGGGCACCTGGGTGGCTCAGTCGGTTAAGCATCCAACTCGATTTCGGCTCACGTCATGATCTCAAGGTCATGAGATCAAGCCCCATGTGGGGCTCTGCGCTCAGTGCAGAGTCTGCTTGAAATTCTCTCTCCTTCTCCCTTTGCCCCCTCCCCCAGCTCATGTTCGCTCTCTCTTTCTAAACAAACAAATAAATAAAATCTTTTAAAAAATAAATAAAATAAAATCTTAAAAAAAAAAGAAAAAAGTTTTCAGATTTCTTGAGGAAACACAGATTCTGGATTCCTCTGGATCATCAGAGGTGTACAGACTACAGGGTTTTTTTTTTTTCCCAAAAATTTTTTTTTTTTAGAGAGAGAGAGAGAGAGTGACAGCAAGTGGAGGGAGGGGCGGAGGGAGAGAATCTTCAAGCCAACTCCCTGCCGAGTGCTGAGCAGGGAGCCTGAAGTGGGGCTTATCCATGAGATCATGACCTGAGCCAAAACTAAGAGTTGGACACTCAACAGACTGAGCCACATAGCTGCCTCCAGGTGGCAGTTTTCACTTTCCACAAAAATGAATTCCTTGTTAACTTTTAAAATCTGGAAGATTTTACATAAAAATCTGGTTTTTCCAGTCCTCTTGGAAAATGAAGGAATCTGGCTGCTTTGGACCAGGTGTATCAAGAACTGACTGGAACTCAGAGTGACTGCCCCCTTTACATTAAGCACACACCAAGGAATGGTGGGGATTGTGGCATCCTGCAAAGGCACATGCCCTGTCATTTACCACTTGAGTGCCTGTGAGCCTCTTTGGCAACTTTAAAATGAGTTGCTAATGTCTCAGTATTCAATACATTAACATCACCTACCCCTCTCCAAGTTGTCCCATTCCCCTCCCCACTTATATCTCCCACACCCCCAACATTCATTGGTTTCTTGTATGTCTTTCCAGAGCTACTTCATTACAAACACATGAAGGGTACAGCAAGCACTAGTTTTGGTGGAAAATCTGAAATGGTATTTTCTAGTACTTCCAAAGCTATTACCAAAGTCATATTCCATTAAGAGGAAACCCCTTTCTTATTCATTCATCTAACAAAAATTTATTGACCTTTTAACTACTCCTAGGCTCTGGGGACACAATAATGAAAAAGCCAAATATGGTCCCTGGCCTGATGGAATTTACGGTCGGAATATTATTCAAAATAGAAGACAGAGAAGATGACTGACCCAGGGATGCCTTCTAGATATAATTTTTATAAACAGTGTGCTACCTTCAAAGAAGAGTTACCAGCATGCACACACATTCTCTAGCTAGATGACAAAAAAGTATATTTATAATCTTTGTAAAGCCATCAACAGAAAGTAAAACCTATGAATATTCCAATGAGGGAGAACAGGACCATGTTCTATATTCAAAAATTGCCAGATGACATTTTTCTTAGCCTGCCAAAACAAGGGAATTAGAGAGGTCTAGGGCTGCTCTGGAGGCCACCCTGCCATGGGCATCTTGCCTTTGGAATCTGGAATTCCTTGCTAAGCTAGAAGCAATCTAGAAGTAGCTCAGCCTGACCCAAATGAGAACCTAGGGTAAATTCCTCCTTGCTTTTTTATGCCTGTGATCCTTGGGCACCACCCAAATTGCAAATGCTGGCTGGCCATCAACAATCCAACAATTTCCTCAAAGCCATTCCACTCTTCCTCCCTTCTTTATCCATTCCTTGCACTTTTCTCTCTCCCATTTCCACTGCATAGTCTGGAACTCTTAGTCCATGATAAAGAAAGTCTACTCCTATGGCTGCCACTTCTTGCCTGAAGACTCACTCCACCTCCTGCTGCTAATTGAAAGCAGGCTCTCTTCTCTCCAACACTATGTCCCATAGAGTCATCTCAAGGCAATTCTTTCTACTAGAGTTTGCATATTGGGCTGGAATGAGGGTTAGGGAAAACTGTATTACCGTTCTCCTTTCTCCAACCACCCCCCCCACCACACACACACACACACACACACACACACACACACACACACACACACACACACACACACACACACTGCCTTTTCTAAACCAGGGGCTGGCAAACATTTAAACTACCAGATAGGAAATATTTTAGGCATTGTGGGACATACTGGCTCTGTTGCAACCACTTGACTCTACTGTTGTAGCTTGAAAGCAGCCATAGACAATATGCAAACAAATGGGCATGGCTATGTTCCAATAAAACTTTATTTACAAAAACAGGCGGCAAAACTAGATTTGACCCAAGAGAAGTCTGCTGACCTGTACTATAAACTATTAATCTTTCCAGCTCCAATAAAAACAAATCCCTTCTTACTTGAAAAATCACATTAACTATATACCCCATCTTGCCTCTCCCTTGCTCCTGTCGTGTACTCACCTCCCGGTCCAGCCATGTTTATTAAGGATCCTTGCATCTGGCTCATAGGTCACTTCTAGTCCCACCATCATCCTGGATGATTCCTAAATCCATAAGGATAATCAGTGTAACACCACAGCCTCACAGTGCCTTGACTTCCTCAATTCCAATGACTTTCACCCCCATTCCATTTCAATAACCTACTCCTTTGGGAAATATTACACCTTTGATACCTTCACATCAATATCCCATGCAGAACACAGTTCTTATCCTACAGACTTTCCAACACTTTACTCCCCAATAAATCTGCTCTTTGACCTGAGAACCCCTCCATTTTCTCCAAGTTAGTCGGCCCCCACCTGGCCTCACTTTCCTCCTCCCCAGTCTGAACACACCACGGTCAATCACTATTCTCTCTTGCTGCTTCCTCAATCGCCTTGCGCTCCCTTCTTCTCACTGTTCTTTTACTATCAACACCATACCGCACTCCCCAGTCAATTCAATCACCAAATTTCTCTGATCCTGTAGCCAAATGGCTGAATGTACTTGGAGAATACTATCCCACTGTATGAATGTGAGACACAGAAACTTACGATTTTAAATCTTATCTGGTCCCTCACTACCTCTAGTCTATCTTTTTCAATGGTTTTTGTTTAACTCCCCTATCCTATTAACCTTAGACAAGACAACATAATTTTTTAAAGAGATTGCAAATAAATAAATAATCTAAAAAAAGAGAGAGAGAGAGAGAGATTGCAGGCTTAAAAACCAAACAGCGTTGGGTCTGAAATCTGGTTCCACTTATTAGATGTATGGTTTTGAGCAGGTTATCTAACATCCTATTACATCAGTTTTTTCATGAGAAAAATGGAAATAATTCCTACTTTATATATTAAATAAGATTACATATGTAAAACAATTAGCACAGTGCCCTACACCCAGCAGGTGCTCAATAAACGACAGCTATTAATGCAAGCTCATATTCAGCAGGTGACTATACCTACTTCGCCAAGACCATTAAGTGTTTCTTAGCCCAAGTTCCCCAGAAAGCAGAGCAACGGTTGATGTGCTATTTGGTTGAATCATACGAAATTGCTGACATTCAACTGTTTGACATACAGAAATCAAAGGCTTCAGCCTCATCCGTTTTTAGGGAGTGCAATCCCAGGAAAGCAGGGGGGAGAGACAGTGGGAAACGAAAGAATAAGAGAGTCAATACGAAGGTACATTGGTATTACACTTGAGGTCATGGGGTACCATTTTTTGAAAGATCATAAATACATGACTTGCATCTCTGATCAGTCGACAAGGAGGCTGGAAAGAGAGTGTAACAGCTAGCTCTTGTCTTTTATTAGCCAAAGCTTTGCACCGCTGGGTCAGGTTAACTCCTCTACACTGTGCACGGAGTCTCAGCACCCACAGGAAAGCACCAGGGCGTGTGATGAGAAGCTGGCAGATTGCACTGGTCTAAGTCCAACAGAGCCTCCTCAGAGAAGGGGCTGGGACACACAAGCAATAGGCCAAAGACCACTGAGACAAATAAGGCCAGGAGGATCTGAACTGGTAAGAGGTGGCTGATAGAACATATGAATTCCCTCCATTTTTTTTTACTCTGCACTTTCCTATAACTGTAATTTACTCTTCCTTTTGGTCAGAGGAAGGGATATCCCTCCGCTCATTTAGGCCTAAAGCCAACTCCCACCTATGCTCTCAATCTCGATCCCTCCCACCTCCAGGATCTTTTACTTTCAACTTCTCCCATTTTCCTGATCCTTTCCTCTCTACCTTTGTACCATCTTAGGGCTCTCCTTCAAATATCCTTCCTTTACTTCACACAGGCTTCTAGCTACTTCCTTTTCTCTTTCCTTTCTTTCTCAGCAGAATGTCTTAAATGAATAATCCAAAGTTACTATCTCTACTTTCTCACCTCGGAGCCATATGAACCGATCTCATCACTGTCTTATAACACCTTTGCGGAGGTCACCAACGATCTCCACTTGACCATATCCCTTAGACATAATTCTGGCTCTATCTATCTTGGTTTCACTGCAGCATTTGGTCCCGTTGACCCCTCCATTCTGACTGAAATTCTTGGTTCAGTTACCACGCCACCATTATTTGTTGCTTCTCCTAATTCTTTGGCTGGTCTCTTTCCTCTCAGCCTCTATCTGATCCTTAAGAGTCAGTGTCCCCAAGAATTCTGTCCTCAGCCTCCTTCTCCTCTTACCCCACACACGCTCCCGGGAGGTTATCATCTAGTCCCCGGATTTCAAGTATCACTATGTGCTGATGACTTCCAAAGTTGTATCTCTAGCCAGAGCTCTCCCTGCACACTCATCTTGTAAATGCCCACCAAGCAGCTGGATATATCCGCCAAAGCTTAAGTCCACGGTTCACAATCTGATGTTCAAGGCCCTTCGTAATCTTGCCTAACCACCCATTTCACTCACTTGTTTGTTTTTTGAAGATTTTATTTATTTACTTGACAGAGACACAGCACGAGAGGGAACACAAGCAGGGGGAGTGAAAGAGGGAGAAGCAGGCTCTCCGCTGAGCAGGGAGCCCCAGATAGAGCAAGGATCAGATAGAGGCTGAGAGGAAAGAGACCAGCCAAAGAATTAGGAGAAGCAACAAATAATGGTGGCGTGGTAATGAAGATACATCCTGCTGCTTTTTTTTTTTTTTTTTAAGATTTTATTTATTTATTTGACAGAGACAGACACGGCGAGAGAGGGAACACAAGCAGGGGGAGTGGGAGAGGGAGAAGCAGGCTTCCCGCAGAGCAGGGAGCCCGATATGGAGCTTGATTCCAGGACCCCGGGATCACGACCTGAGCCGAAGGCAGACGCTTAACGACTGAGCCACCCAGACGCCCCTACATCCAGCTGCTTGATGGGCACTTCAAACAGGCACCCCAAATTCAACATATTACCACCGGAACTCATTATATTCCCAACCACCTCCACCTTAATCTTGCGCACAAAATTAATCTGCAGATAATGCCTGCTATCCTCACTACACTTTGCATTTTATTCAACGATTAATGCTTAGGCACCTACTCTATGCCATATAGTGTTCCAGATACTTGCTCTGATCTCTTTGGCTTGGCCTACGCCAGCACTTGCTATTTGTTCCTGGACCCTTCATTTGAGCTACTCTGCTAGGGGCGCCCGGGTGGCTCAGTCATTAAGCGTAGGCCTACGGCTCAGGTCATGATCCCGGGGTCCTGGGATTGAGCCCTGCATCGGGCTCCCTGCTCAGCGGGGAGTCTGCTTCTCCCTCTCCCTCTTCCTGCTCATGTTCTCTCTCTTTCAAATAAATAAATAAAATCTTCAAAAAAATAAAATAAAATAAAATAAATTCCTCTATCAGTGAAGGATTTGGGCACTGGGAACAAGAATTTTTCATAGAAAAAACCCTGGACCCCTGGCACCACTAAGGTCAGCTGAAGTATCTGCGCCAGGGTAGGGCTCTAGTCCAAAGGGCCATACCCTCCACACCCCCCAGCTCAGGGCATAAGGGAACATGCAGTGGGGGATGGAGAGGATGATAAGGAGTAGCCGTCTGCTCAGTGTGGCTCCTTTAACAAGTTATACCTATTCCTACCAGGAAGTACTGGGGACTACATAAAATATGTAGCCAATAACTTCTACCACACTTCGTTCAAAGATGAAATCCTCAATTTTCCAGCCTAACACACACCTTGCATCCCATTCTCTCTCTTAAGTCTTCCAGCCACAGACTTTAGTCTTTGTCCATACTACGTCCTAAAGTGGATACAGAGTTGAATCCCAGGTCATGGTTTTGGCACTTTTGAGTTAAAACTCTGTTACGGGGCACCTGGGTGGTTCAGTCGGTTAAGTGTCTGCCTTCGGCTCAGGTCATGATCCTGGGGTCCTGGGATGGAGCCCCTGTGTCGGGCTCCCTGCTCAGCGGGGAGCCTGCTTCTCTCTCTCAAGTTGTCTTCCTCTCTCAAATAAATAAATAAAATCTTAAAAAAAACCCAAACAAATAGCCCTGTTACTGGTTCCAACAGTGTTCTGACCTAGCTGTTCTGGCTCAATGGCTGACACTCAAAAACAAGTGAGTAGGGGCGCCTGGGTGGCTCAGTCATTAGGCATCTGCCTTCAGCTCGGGTCCTGATCCCAGGGTCCTGGGATTGAGCCCTGCATGGGGCTCCCTCTCCCACTCCCCCTGCTTGTGTTCCACCTCCCGCTGTGTCTCTGTCAAATAAATAAATAAGACCTTAAAAAAACCAAACAAACAAGGGAATGAAATGGGTGGTTAGGCAAGATTACGAAGGGCCTTGAACATCAGATTGTGAACCATGGACTTAAACTAGTAGGAAGTAGGCAGTCTGAAGTTTCTAAGCAAGAAAGCAAGAAGATGGAAACAAAAGCCATGTTTTAGAATCTGGTACGAAGAAATAGTAGTGAAGACTGACTGAGGAGGAAGACTGAATGCACGGAAATCTATTAGAAAGCTATTTCTGGAATCCAGAAATGAGGTAATCAGCCCAGCCAAGGCAACCACACCTGCCTCATCTCTTCACTCCTAATCCCTTGTCCAACAGAATCTAAATGAGGATCCGCAGCCAGCACGGGAGGACAGATGGCTATATTTGGAATAAGTTCAGAACATCATAATGACCATAATGATTGACATCACTACAGGTCACTCTTTTGATGGTTTAAATCTTTAAAAAGAGGTCCTTTGCCAATTCAACATAAATGTCTGAAGTGTCCCCTTCACTTTGAGCACTAAAATTTCAGGCTATTTCCTAGGGCACTGCCAAGAACAGGATGACTATCTCCTAAATTGTCCATGCCTTACTTTGCAAATTGTCCCTCATTAGGCTCTCATTTTATAATTGGTAAAAATTTTTTTAATTCTCTAAAGGTTCACACAGCTTTCAGAGTTACAGCCCTGAAACAGAGGTGTTAATTATACCTCTAGATCTGACGAAAACTAATATGAAAATGTTTGTAATAACATTTAGCCAATCAACTAGAGCTTTATTTGCTCATTTAAGGAAAGACATTTTACTCATTTGTTCCCATATATAACTGACTTCTCATTTGATTCCTACCACCAATGGTCCAGGTCTACTGTAATCAAAGTATAAAATGTGGGGATGGAAAGAGTGGTACACAGTCTTATAGCCAAGGATTATAAGCTTTTATTTTAATAGTTACTAGGAAACCAGTGTGATAAACTAATAAGACTATGAAGATAATTAGAATTAGGAAAGAACTATCCATAATTCACTAAAACAAAATATCCTGTACTCGTGAGAAAATTTAATAAAGGTATTGGAATATATTTTTTTCCTCAGCTGTAATACATCTATCATACCTAGTATCTAAAGTCTCAAAGATGTTTTACATTATTTACAATAAATCAGCATGAGATTCAGTTTAATAACACCATCTGACTAGGAATAGAAAGAATTTCAATTTAAATTTCAAGAAATAAGATAGGCTGGCATATTTTCCTTTATCATTACACTGTAAAACAGAGCAATGCTATGCCCAATCCAACAAGACAGGATCATAATCAAATCCCATTTAAAATAAAGAGTCATGGGGACGCCTGGGTGGCTCAGTCATTAAGCGTCTGCCTTCTGCTCAGGTCATGATCCCAGGGTCCTGGGATCGAGCCCCGCATCAGGCTCCCTGCTCATGAGCAGGAAGCCTGCTTCTCCCTCTCCTACTCCCCCTGCTTGTGTTCTCTCTCTTGCTGTGTCTCTCTCTGTCAAATAAATAAATAAAATCTTAAAAATTAAAAAAAAAAATAAAGAGTCATGGGGCGCCTGGGTGGCTCAGTTGGTTAAGCGACTACCTTTGGCTCAGGTCATGATCCCAGGGTCCTGGAATCGAGTCCCGCATTGGGCTCCCCCTGCTCTGTGGGGAGCCTGCTTCTCCCTTTGCCTACCACTCCCCCTGCTTGTGCTCTCCCTCTCTGTCAAATAAATAAGTAAAATCTTTTAAAAAATAAATAAATAAAATAAAATAGAGTTATGGTGCTTGCTTTGGCAGCACGCATCCTAAGACTGGAACGACACAGAGAAGATTAGCACGGCCCCTGCACAAGGATGATGCGCAAATTCATGAAGCGTTCCATATTTTAAAAATAAATATATAAATAAAATAAAGAGTTATGAAAATGGAGTATTTTTACTGTTTAATACTAAGTCTTGGATGGTCAGAAAATCATTTTAATTATTAAAAAATTCAAAAGTAAATCAAAATCCAAGGCAAGACCTATGATTTTTCTGTCCATGCTAATGCATGTTATTAACTATTTTAAAACTTATTCTTCTTAAAAGTAAGGGAAGACACATCTCTGAACATTGAGCGCTAGTGTGTCAGTTTCCAAACAGTTTTCTGATATTGCTTCAATATTGGCTGCATACGCTTTTATCCTGCCTCTAAGAAAGAGGTCAGTGGTATAGTATGGTCTAAGGTTTTCAACATTGTGTCCAGAGCTTAAAATTTTCAGGTCAACCAGCAGATCTAACAAGTGTCTGAGTGTCATGGGAGGCAACCTTTTTTCATGTTGCTTGTGTTCATGCTGGTAGAAAAGGAACTCATTCCTTTGACTTTCATTTTGGGGTTTATAAAATGAAGTCAAAGTAATAGGTGATGTCAGCATGGACAGAGATATAGAGTGAGATTTCAACATCAGCCCCTCATGAGAAGCAAAATCTTCCAGATTGGGCCATTCTGGAAAGGAGGTAATCACTTGATATGGAGTATTTTCTGGGTCACCAGAAAGGTCCCTCACTTTAAAAAAATTCTCCCTGGAAACCAACCTCCAGGACTCTTTAGAGATTCCTTACTTTGCTTTAAGTCATTGCATTTCTAGAAAGTAAAAGGCAAATACCTCTTGGAGAAATAGTACATTAGCTGTAATCAACAGAAACTAGATTCCTTTGAACATGAAGGGATATGAGTGAAAATGAATATTTGACACAGGTATGACTTCCTAAAGAGTATGGGCGAGTTTGGGATCATGCAGAGCTTTTAAGAAAGCTACATGACAAGGGCACCTGGGTGGCTCAGTTGGTTAAGCGTCTGCCTTCAGGCCGGTTATGATCCCAGGGTCCTGGGATCGAGTCCTGCATCGGGCTCCCTGCTCAGCGGGGAGTCTGCCTCTCCCTCTCCTTCTGCCACTCCCCTATTTGTGCTCTCTCTCGCTCTCAAATAAATAAACAAAATCTTTAAAAAAAGAAAGAAAGAAAGAAAGCTACATGACAGCATAAGAGCATTGGGCGACTAGAACAAAGGGCATCTGTGGGAGGCCATGAGGCCACACGCTAGTTTCACAATTTTGCCAAAGGCCATCCTGCTTCCAGACATACAAAACAGAAAAAATACTGCCTAATTGTAACAATTCTACACACCTTTCCTAAAGATATTCTTGGTATTGGAATAATTTTTATCTTTAGCTTCGTAAGACTGGTCAAGATTAAAATGTAGAAACAAATGGGGCACCTGGCTGGCTCAGTCAGTAGAGCATGCGACTCTTGATCTCAGGGTTGTGAGTTTGAGCCCCACGTTCGATGTAGAGATTTCTTGAAAATAAAATCTTAAAAATAAAATGTAAAAACAAATGAAATCATGAGTATCAGAAGAAAATGTGGCTGAATACTTTTTATATTCTTGAGTGGAAAAGGTCTTTCTAAACATGATGCAAAGCTCAAAGTCATAACATAAAAGACTGATAAATATGACTACCCAGAAATAAACAAACAAAAGTAAAGGACTCGGGTCATGATCCCACAGTCCTGAGATGGAGTCCCATATCGGGCTCCTGGCTCAGCGGGGAGCCTGCTTCTCCCTCTGCCTGCTGCTCCCCCTGCTTGTGTTCTCTCTGACAAATAAAACCTTTATTAAAAAAAAGAAAACTGAAATGCTAAGAAAGAACAGAATCATGTAATGTTCTCCAATAAAACCAACAAGGCATAAAAAGTATAGAAGACAAAAGTGGGAACAAAGAGAAAACATTAACAAATATGGTAAATGTTAATCCAACTGCACTTTAAAGGTCAGTGGTCTAAATACACCAATTAAAAGGTGAAGATTGTCAAAAGGGATCAAAAACCAATACCCAACTATATGTTGTCTGCAAGAAATCCACTTTAAATATAAAGATACATATAGATTAGAAGTAAAGGAATAGAGAAAGATACACCATATATATGCAAATAATATGAAAAAATGCTCAATATCATTTATCATTAGGGAATTGCAAATTAAAACGAGATTCCACTACACACCTATTAGAATGACCAAAATCCAAAACAATGACAACACCAAATGCTGGTGAGGATGTGGAGCAACAGGAATTCTCATTCATTGCTGGTGGGACTGCAAAATGCCACAGCCACTTTGGAAAATACTTCTGCAGTTTCTGATAAAACTAAACATACTCAGGGCCCCTGGGTGGCTTGGTAAGTTAAGCGTCTGCCTTTGGCTCGGATCATGATCCTGGGGTCCTGTGATCGGGCCCCGTGTCAGGCTCCCTGCTCAGCGTGGAGGTGCTTCTCCCTCTCCCTCTGCCTTCTGCTCCCCCTGCTTGTGCTCTCTTTTCCTCTCTCTCTCTCCCTCTCTGTCAAATAAATGAATAAAATATTTAAAAAAAAACAAAAAACTAAACATACTCGTACCATGCAAACAAACAGTTGTGCTCTTTGGTATTCACCCAAGTGAGTTGAAAACTTATGCCCGCACAAAAACCTGCACACAGATGTTTATAGCACTTTTGTTCATAATTGCTAAAATGTGGGGTGCCTGGGTGGCTTAGTCGGTTAAGCATCTGACTTTGGCTCAGGTCATGATCTCAAGGTCCTGGGATTGAGCCCTGCATTGGCCTTCCTGCTCAGTGGGGAGCCTGCTTCTTCCTCTCCCTCTGCCCCTCCCCCCTGTTCATGCTCACACGTGCTCTCTCTCAAATAAATAGTCTTTAAAAAATTGCCAAAACATGTAAGCAACCATGATATCCTTCACTGGGTGAATAGACAACTAAACAGAAATACATCCAGACAATGGAATACTATTCACCACTTTTCTTTTTTTAAAGATTTTATTTATTTATTTGAGAGGGAAAGAGAGCACAGGAGTGGGGACAGGGGCAGAGGGAGAGGAAGAAGACTTCCTGCTGAGCAGGGATCCTGACGTGGGGCTCGATCCCAAGACCCTGAGACCATGACCCGAGCCAAAGGCAGACGCTTAACCAACTCAGCCACCCAGGTGCCCCTATTTACCACTTTTAAAAAACGAGCTATCAAGCCCTAAAAAGACACCAAGGAAACTTAAATTACTAAGTGAAAGAAGTTAATCTGAAAAGGCTATATAGTGTATGTTTCCAACTATGTGACATTCTGAAAGGCAAAACTATGGGGACAGTAAAAAGATCACGGATTAGCAGAGGTTAGCGAGGAGGGTGGGAGGAATAGGCAGAGCACAGAGAATTGTTAGGGTAGTGAAACTAGGGTGATACTCTAAGTGTGGGTACATGTCATTATACTTTTGTCCAAAACCCACAGGGTATACAACACCTAGAGTGAACCCTAATGTAAACTAGAAACTGGATGATTATAATGTGTCAATGTAGGCTCATCAACTCTAACATATGTGCCACTCTGCTGTGGATGTTGACCGTGGGGGAGGCTGTGCACGCTTGGAGAACAGTTCAAATAACAATATAGGGAAAATATTAAACGAATAAAGTGTGCACAGATCCTTGCGGCGGTGATCAAAATGACAGGACCAGTGCATAACTTGTTGACTTTATTAGAAAAAGTATATTTAAGTATACATCATTAAATGTGAAGGGATAAACAGATAAAAATACAATATATAGCTTCTCAACCGGCAGAAGAAATAAAGGGAACACAGAAAGCTTTATTAATCCACCTGAAGGTTGGAGAGCAGGGGCGTGGTGGGGAGGGGAAGAAGCAAGGAAAAATGGTTGATAAGTGGAATGAAAACTAAGTGAAAAGATGTGAGCTGCATATATATATATATATATATATGTATGTATATATATATATATATATAAAATGACACAATTCACATGAAATTCGAAAAAGCCCAGAAGACAAAGCTATTTAATGTTTATGGGTACCTAAATGATAAACACAAAATTTGTGACAGCAGTTATCTATGGAAAGAAAGGAGAATGAGATGAAGGAAGAATATACAGAGTATCTGAACTCTGAACATGTTATTTCTATTTTCTAGATCTTTTTTATTTTTTTTATTTTATTATGTTAATCACCATACATTACATCATTAGTTTTTGACGTAGTGTTCCATGATTCATTGTTTGTGTATAACACCCAGTGCTCCATGCAGTATGTGCCCTCCTTAATACCCATCACCAGCCTAACCCATCCCCCTCCCCAGAACCCTCAGTTTGTTTCCCAGAGTCCATGGTTCGTTTCCCTCTCCAATTTCCCCCCCTTCATTTTTCCCTTCCTGTTATCTTCTTTTTTTTTTTTTTAAACATATAATGTATTATTTGTTTCAGAGGTACAGGTCTGGTCAGAGGGAGAAGGAGAGAGAGAAGCAGACTCCCCACTGAGTGGGGAGCCTGACAAAGGGCTCGATCCCACAACCCCAAGATCACAACCGGACACTCTTCATGAAATATAGAGGGGTGCCTGGGTGGATCAGTTGGGTGAGTGTCCCGCTCTTGATTTCTGGCTCAGGTTGTGATCTTGGGGTCGTGGGATCAAGCCCTTTGTCAGGCTCCCCACTCAGCGGGGAGTCTGCTTTTCTCTCTCCTTCTCCCTCTGACCTTTCCCCCACTTGCTCTCTCTCACTAAAATGGATAAATAAATCTTTTTTTTTAAAGATTTTATTTATTTATTTGAGAGAGAAAGAGACAATGAGAGAGAGAAAGCACATGAGACAGGGGGAGGATCAGAGGGAGAAGCAGACCCCTCGCCGAGCAGGGAGCCCAATGCAGTACTCGATCCAGGGACTCCATGATCATGACCTGAGCTGAAGGCAGTCGCTTAACCAACTGAGCCACCCAGGCGCCCTGGATAAATAAATCTTAAAAAAAAAAAAAAGATTGAATGAAGATAGGTGGTGTGTACCCAGGCATTCATTATTTTACTTCCTATTCTTGTCTCTCTGTTTGAAATAATTATTTTAAAAAATAAGTTAAAAAAAGAATGAGGCATAAAAAGTCATGTATATGTACATATTTTATATGAACAGTTAAAATAACATAGATGTTAGGATAAGCATACAAAAAATACACACTTAACTCTTAAGACTATCTCTAGAGGATTGCATTGCAACCTACTTTCACTGTTATATATTTTAATTTTTTATTTTGTTTTACAGTGAGCATGCATTACTATGGTAATCAGTAAAAATAATTTTTTTTAAGAAGAAGGGACAATAAAAAAGAAATCAAGGGAGTCTGAACACAACTTTAGTTTTCTTTAGGAAAACTCAACGTAACAACAGTTAAGACAAAAGAAAACAAAAAACCTTCTGGAGAAATGCTATTTCCAAGCAAACGCCCTCTGAATTTATTGTTCCGCTACATTATGTCAAAATGCTGAGAGAAGCGATAAACAGATCAGTGCAAAATGTAGATATCTTCTTATATTCTCGCTCAGCATTTCCATTATTGCAAGGGGCAAATATGAAAGAATAAAATGTTATGATTTTGATTAAAGGGATGCCTATGTTATCCTATGGCAGCTGGTCTTGCAGATTAGGTCATCCTCAGGCTGTAATTGGATAATGCTGGCCTTGTTGATTTGAAGTAGAAGGCTAATCTCGGCAGTTTACAGTGACAAGGAAACTGTTAAGACTGCTGGCATGGTAACAGGAAAAGAAAAAAACAAAATGTAATGAGAGAGTGGCAGGTATCATTCATTGTACCCCGAGTTTCAAGTATGTTTATATTCCATATAAATCTTGTATATTCGCAAGTATAAAAATCTTAGCATAGATCATGAACATATTGTACCATGAATACAATAACATGCATTTTGTGTATGAGGGCTAATTTTAACCAGAAATCATAGTTCTGAGATGTAAACTTGGAGCCGTGTGAGCATATGTTGAACAGAAACATATCACACATAACAGAGATATAGGATACTGACACTTTCGGTATTATGTGGCAGCATCATTATGAACATATTTTATAAAATGTACCCATGAGTTAGTTCATTATCTTTAATGGAAAAGGAGAATTGCCATAATCATAATTCATAATCCTATTGCTGACATGGAAATAAGTCATATGGTAACTATTGGAAGAGAAAACTAAAAGGAAAAAAGGTATTTGAATCAAACAATGCAATGTCATATACGTAGGTTTTCCAACACAGGTGGTGTAGTTCTCATTAAATTTTGCTAAGTGTAATGGGCAAATTTTAAAAGATAATTTAATATCAGCATTTCCAAAAAATGGATATGGAAATTTCCCCAAATGGGCCTCCCAAAAAGACAGGACAGAATAAGGTCCACATGTACCTCTAAATTA